TTAGTTACTAGTTTCAAAATCGACGTCTCATGAAAAAGTGTGCTATAATAGTGAACGTAATTTTTTATCTTTGTCGTAGCAATGTCGTAGGAGCTAAATAAAGATCAAGAGATCAATAAATTTGTACCTGCCTGAAAATTGAAAGTAAAAAAAAATTCAAAAGCAACTTTTCGTTATTTTAAATAATGAATCGAATTGTATAGAAAAAACAGTTGTTTTAGTGTTGTTAAATCATTAAAATTTATGTTTTTTAGACAACTAACTGTTAATTTTAATAATTGTAAAAGAAAAAGTGAATAGATTATTTTTATGTAAAATATAATGCTTTACTTCTTTTATAACTTTTTTTTCTAACTCTTATCCCTTTTTCTTGTCACTTATTATTATTATTATATGTACCTATAGGCCAAGCAAATAAAGTTTTTACTCGAAAAAAGTCCTATCCGAGAGATTATTGTAAAATTGTCTAAAGGAAAAAACTTTTATTAGCTAACTTTTCTATTTAAACAAATAAGTGAGGAAAACAGTTTTTTCACTTTGCATGTACTTACCCGTTTGAATATCTTTTCTGGTATTTAATATGTGTTATGAATTTGGGCGAGTTTCTGTTTAAAAACTTCATAGTTCAATCTTCTATGTACATTCCTATTGCCGAGTTTTTAGTTTCCCATTTTTTCACTATTTATTTTTATTATATGTATAACTATGATGAGTAACACAATTAGGACAGAAAATGGTGATACCATGCTAAAAACAAGGCATTTCGAGGTATTTCCTGGCATTTAGAGGCATTTTCAGGTATTTCTGGCATTTCGGAGACATTTCGGTGGCATTTAGGGCATTTAGGGGGATATTTTGGAAATTTTTTGTCGTATCGAAAAATTTGTGGATTTTCGGAGGCATTTTATTTTGGTGCATTTTTCTCGGGGAAGGCATTTTATTATGGTGTACAAAATATGGACAGACGGAAACGTTTCAACTTTTGAAACAAGATGATGCTCTGGGTCGTACGGAATGTTTTCACGATTTAAAAGTGGTCGTCAGTCAATTGAAGAGGATCTTCGACCGCCGGGAAGGCCCTAGACTTCAACTGATGACTCCCGTGTTCAGAAAGTCAAAGATCTGGTGCCTGCAAATCGCCGATAGGTTGCCAGAGAAATTGCAGAAGAGGTTAGGATCTCAATTGGATCATGCCATGAACTTTTAAATGAAAAAATTGAACATGAATCGAGTTCGCAGCAAAAATTGTTCCTCTTTTGATGACTGAACAATAGAAAGAAAATCGTGGGGACGTTTGTCGGCAACTCCTTGAACAAGACAAAAACCAGTAATATATAAAATTAAAAATAAAATTAAAAAATAAAGTTCGGTTATTTTCTGAACAGACCTCGTATGATCGAAATTTTGTCTTTTTGATATCCTGTATCCCACAAATAAACAACAATTAATTTTTTTTTATTTATTCGAGGTTGTATGATAATTTTTAAACACGTGTCTTAAAATTACTATGTCATATCAAACAACGACAAAATGAGGTTCATATTACATGATTATCAAAGTTTAATTAATAATAATTTTCCTTTTTATGTGAGTTGCACGTTATATTTTTTGCAATCTACTGCTCATGTTTAATACCCTAAACATTACACAAAGGCGTATACAAGTATTTTGTTTATTATAGTAATATACGAAAGGAAAGAATCTATTCATTAACAGAAGAATAAACTGTAAAATAACAACCTGTGATATCTAATTTATCGACGAAAGTTAAATGTGCGGTGACAGAAAATAATTTTGGAGAATTTTCTGGATACTTATATTTTCTTGATATTGGCAATTTTTCGTCGCTTAAATCGGCAACTCTTCGAGATTTCCCATTCCTGAAGTCGATGGTTGTGTCTCAAATGTCCTGTCAGCTAACGGCGTCTGAAATAATTGCCCGCGTCGTCTTTCGGATGTGGCAGTTTTTAATATGAAGCGATTTCTCTTGTGGAGCTTCCCATTTTATTAATACCAATCACTTGATTGGAACATTTTCCATTAGCATATCTCAGTCCGTTTTCAGTTTACAGGTAATGTTATATGAAATACATCTAAAATGGCAAATCTCCTCTGATTATGTGTCTTGCTGCCAGAAATTCTGATGATAATGGAGTGGTTGAAGGGGTTACATGTAATCAAATGATTTTTTTAAAAATTGATTGACGTGAACTATCGATATTAAACTTAATTTAGTATTACCTACATATTTTCGAAACGTACTTTTTTCAACTTTATTAAAAGAAGAAAATTATCTAACTTCACTTGTCATTGAACAAATTGCAAACCTACTATGAAAACAAGATGAACATGATGTGAACCTATAACAGTTTATTATTACTTTTATTTAAATACAGAGTAAAATAAACATAGACAGTTTAATTTTTATTATAGATAGAATAACATTACGAAAAAATTATATTAATTTACAAATCATTGCTCTTCGCTGCAAATTCAAATTCATAAATTTACTCCTTTGTACATATTTTCACACATTTTGCAGTTGTTGGTTGGTTCTGTTATATTCTTCACATCGCTACACAAACGCCCAGTCTTAAGGGATGTAAATCTGTTTCTACAAATGTGTGCGGATTTTCTGTAGCCTAGGTTCTGTAATTTTGGCTATACCTATACATAACCTGATATGTGAAACCATGCTTTGTCATTAAAAACGACAAGTGCAACAAATTGTTATTCATGTTTTCTATATGTCGCTCACAGTACTGTAACCGCCCTCCGTAATTTATGGGAAATATTCCTATACAACAGTTGCCTTGTATGGATGTAAATGCAGTTGTTTTTTTAAAGCTTTATGACGTTCCAACTGAAACCCTAAAGTGAAAATTTTGGGTTATTAACTATACTTCAATCTAATCTCAAATTCAAATAAATATTTTAAATTTAAAATGTTTTAGAGACAAACTAAATTTGTGAATATTTGCAGGCACTTGACAAAAAAAATATTTGTTTGAGCAGACAACTTTGATACGAACGTTGTTAGACTTTAATATATTCTTTGCTGTATTTATCGATGACATTTTCTGTAAGTACAGTTGGTCTGCCCGTAGATTTTCTTTGCAAATGCAAGTGTTTGGTTTCAAATCTTTCGACAATAGCACATTTCGGTTTAAGAAAGTATCATAGTCAATATTTGCGTCTGGAAATTTCGATGAACGCTTTTGATCAGGGGGTGGAAGCCACCCTTCTAAGGGGTGGAAAATAAAATATTGAAAATAACCCAGGAATCGATAAAGCAATCAATTTTAAGCATAAAGTATCCTATGAACATTGTTCAATAGTCAATATTTTCTGAGTTATTGGAGATTGAAAATGTACATTTTTTATTAAAAAAGACGTTTTTCAGTAGTTTTTCTCGAATAACTCGGAAAATAGACATTCTATGAAAAAAAAAACATAACGAAGGAAATGAAGCTTATAGAAAAAGAAAAAGATTATGTTCTTTTTCATTTATGTAGGTGCAATAGTTGCTAACATACGGCTGATTGAAGATAATTTCATTTCCGCCGGAAACTAAATTGGAAACATTTAACGTAAAATAACTAAAAAAAAAATTCTATTTTTGAAAAAAACTGCACAGAACATTAAAAAAAATCTTTAAAATGAACTTGACTAAGTCATTAACTTAAAATTAACAGTTATGATCAAAATAAAACTGTTAATTCGCTTTTTCAGAAAAAAAATCAGTATAAAAACTGATGAATTTTTCACGAGATTTAAAATTAAAAGTAATCCTTCTACAAGTTACATTTTTTATGCGCTAACAATATATTATACAAGTTTAAGCGGTTTAGAAAGCATATTTTTGAAAATATTACGTTTTGATTGAAAAAAATAATTCATTAAAAAAAATTAAATAAAAATTAACAGAGATGTCGCTGCTAGAATTTTGCAGTTGAGGGTAAAGGGCAAGAAAAATTACACCAATCATGAGCCGGTAAAACTAAACGTTGCGTTTTGAAGTAGTCTTGATCTTATTGTTGAAGTAAGTTTTAATTTTATCAGAATTTAATTGCCGACATTTTCCGAAATTGTAGAAAAAGTAATTTCATCTTTAAAATTTAGTATATTTTTTCATACAATCGCATTATCTATATAATGATTCGGGGAAATATAAATAACAGATTAGATCATCAAAAAATTTACTTTAAATATTTTTTCCTTATGCAGACGTACCTGTAAATAGCACTTGAAATGAAATGTGTTTATCACTAATACGCTATCTGCAGCATATTTATTAAAATTGTATATTTCCTGGAAGTAGTAGAACCGTCGTCAAATTTCTGTTATCTTCGTCCAATGACAAAAATAAATAATTTAAAAATATACGGGGTGTTTCCTTTTTAAACGTACTAACTTTGGCGAATACATTTTTTTTGGTAGTTTTTTGTGATATCTAAAAGACATCAAGTAACAATGAAATCAAATTGAGTATGTCTTATGATAATATAATGTCTTTTAAAAATACCCTAGTAATGATTTACTAGAGCCACCAGTGACGTGGTAGACGGGCAATCAATGCCTTCATTTTAAACAGAATTTCTACGTCTTTGGGTTTTTCTTCAAATTTTATGTCGTATGAGGTTTTCTAAATATTTTAAATTTATGTGAATTATTATTTTTGAAACTGTTAAATCAAAAAAATTAAAAGACTTATTAATTTCGTTTTCCAACGTTACTTTAATATTAACGGGCAAATTTTATTTAATCTATTGTTTAGCTCATTTATTTCAACAAAATTATCATTCCAACAAATTAATACATCATCAACATATCTGGACCAATATAAAATTTTATTTTTGAAAATGTAACATTCGGAAAAACAGTCCATTCCAAAGAATTCATAAATATACCCGAAGGAAAGGTGCTAATAGATTACAAGACCATCCAATACAAGAAATGTGTTCTGCTTAAGGTAATCTATGGTTTCTTTTTATTTCCAGAACTCCGAAAATGAAGACCCAGCGTCGTCTGTGCAGCCAAATATGCTTGCTGTTAGGAGGAGTGGCACTAATCGGGATAGGTATTTCAATATTCATTTTCTCGGAATGGATATACGAGTACATACTAAAAGACGCGTTAAAGTTCAATCCCACCTCCAAACCCTTCAACGTATGGAAGACCAACGACCCTCCCTTGATAATGGAAATCTACTTGTTCAACTGGACGAACCCGGAGCAAATCGGCAACCTTTCAGTTAAACCTGAATTCGAAGAAGTCGGACCTTATAGGTTCAAGGAAATTAAAGAAAAAGTCAATATTACTTGGCATGACAATTACACGATTAGTTATAGGCATAGGAAGCTATATTTTTTCGACGAAGAAAATAGTGTTAGGAACTTAAGCGATGTGATATCTACTATTAACGTTGTCCCTTTGGTAAGTAACAGTAAAAATATATGTATTTCATTGAACAAATAAAAGATACTTTAAAAAAAGGGAAACATGCGGTTCCCAAAAGAAAATGCATAAAAAAAGGGGAAGAAGAGAAACTCTCTATTAATGTCATTTTGTTTTTGTCTTCATGAATTACACAGGTCAGCATTTGATCTAAGAATAATCACCGGACCTGACCAGGGTACTTATAGGCTTTTATAGGTTTTTTAGATCGCTGATTCTGAATCCAAGGTTGGCTAAGCTCCATCACGTCAGGTTCAAGGTCATTTGAAGGTCAAATAGCCAAAAATGGTCTAAAAAATCTGAAAAAATTCATACGTATGTTTTTGGGGTAGGTGAGTTCAAAGCCGCTGCTATTTTTACCATTCAAATACATCTAAAGGTCGTATCAAGGTGATTTGGAAGTCAAATTGAGAAATATGGTTTAAAAAATCTGAGAAAATTTATAGGTATGTTTTTGGAGTAGCTGAGTTAAAATCTGCTGTCAGTTTTACCCCTGAAGGACATCTGAATGTCATTTTAAGGTCATATCAAGGTCATTTCAAGGTCTAATCGAGAAAATCTGTATAAAAAATCTGAAAAAATTTAGGGAAGTCACGAAAAAGTTTTTAGGAAATAATAAAGACCCCGACTACAAAAATATTGTTGCAACAATGGCAAAGAATTTCCAAAAATTAGGATGTTTAATGAACCTTAAACTCCACTTTCTTGATTCTCATCTTAACTTCGTTCCAGAAAATCTAGGGGCATTCAGTGACGGACAAGGTGAAAGAATGCATCAGGACCTGAGTGACTTTGAGAAAAGATATCAGGGTGTTTGGGGAAAGAATATGTTGGCAGACTATTGCTGGTGTTTAAAAAGAGACACAAACGTAGAACATAAAAGAAAATCAATTAGAAGATCGTTTGAAACTAAACGTAAACGATTCAAAGCTGACGATTAATTTGTATGCTAAACAAAAAGATTTATTTATTGAAAACAATTTTAAAAACAGTAAGGTGTAATTGGGGTGAAAGTCTCACCTTAATTGCTGGACACGTTACTGTTCTTGCCTTAACTGGCCGGGACATTCAGTCATCTTGACTTAATTGTCTGGACGCACTTATGTTCTTGCCTTAACTGGCCGGGACATTCAGTCATCTTGCTTTAATTGGCCGGACACGCTTATATTTCTACCTAACTGACCGGAAAATTGCCTTAACTGGCTAGCCTCCTGTATGTTTTTTCAGATTTTTTAGACCGATTTTCTCGATTTGACCTAAATGACTCCGACATGACCTTCATATGTCCTTCAGGGGAGAAACTGACAGCGGATTTTAACTCAGCTACTCCAAAAACATACGTATACATTTTCTCAGATTTTTAGACCATATTTCTCGATTTGACCTCCAAATCACCTTGACGCGACCTTTAGATGTCTTTGAATAGTAAAAATAGCAGCGGCTTTGAACTCGGCTACCCCAAAAACATACGTATGAATTTTTTCAGATTTTTTAGACCATTTTTGGCCATTTGACCTTGAAATGACCTTGAACCTGACGTGATGGAGCTTAGCCAACCTCGGATTCGGAATCAGCGATCCAAAAAACCTATAAGTACCCTGGTCAGGTCCGGTGATTATTCTTAGATCAAATGTTGACCTGTGTTATTATTGATCATTTAGTCCTTTCATGAGAGCATGTGGGGTGCTTTCTGTAAGATCACTCAGTTGCACTTCTCGTTTCTTAAAGTGGTTGAAAAATTTCCATGTTGTGACTGTTTTAATAGAACTTTAAGGATAGTTTTTGTAGTCTTAGATTGATGGGTTCTATATTGGTAACATCATACAACAGCTCATTGGAAGGATTTTCGTGAAGCTGAAATTAAGTAAAGAAGATATTCTAGGATAGGTCTAGTCTTTTGTAGATATGTGCAGTTGTTTTCTTGAGCACTCCTTTGTTTTCATAAGTTAAACTACGAAAATGTTTCGCTCTGACAATGCATTTCTTTCTAATTAAATTGCATGACAGAAATTATTATATAGGAATAGTGAAAGTGAAACACCTTGAAGTAGGGAGAGAATTCTTGAGAGAAGTTTTGACTGATTCTAATCTGTAATTTCCTCTTATTTGAGTAAGTCAAATAGATACTTAGAACAATGAGGACATCCAATCTTAAAAAAAGACCAGCATACCAGACTGTATCAAAAGCTTTACTTATAACGCGAATTGAAGCAGAACTATACGACCGAAAGCTTTGGTTATTTGAAGTTGGTGTTCTAAGTGGATGAATAGTTGAGGTTTCATCTCTAAAGTCAAATTGATCATTAGGTATCGATTGTTCAATAGCATCTTGTGAACGATTAAGAATATTTTTTTCAATTATTTTTTTTTTTTGCTGTTACTGGCAGTAATGTAATGGTGTTTCCATACAGATGGATACTATTTCTACCACGAACCTCAAATTCGTTAATCGTAAATGCAAAATTTTTACTTCTATTCGGCAATCTTAAGAAAATAATACACAGTAGCGAAGTCACTTTCTCTTCATTCTTCAAAAGCTATATTTCGCAAACTAGAATAATAAAAACATATATTGTATCCTAATCTCCAGTGCTACAACAGTGAAGTCATTGCCTTATATGAGTGTCAAACAGGTTATGAAAGTGATTGTCTGTCACCCATGTGTCTTTGAAGCTCCCATTTTAATAATTTCTGTGCTGGTTGTCACGTCGCTTGTACAGATTTCTTCACGTTTCGAAAGACCANTAGTCACCAGTATCTCCCTATAGCAAATAGCGACGTTGCCACAAGTACACTTGAAATAAATTTCAATCAATTTTAATGTCAAGGTTTTCTAATCAAGTGTTCTTAGTGCATACCAATTTTCTCCAAAATTGAAGAACAAATCAATTTTCATTGAAATCACTTCAAGGTTGAAATTAATTTCAATGTTTTTACAGCATAGGGCTGATTGCCTTATATGAGTGTCAAACAGGTTATGAAAGTGATTGTCTGTCACCCATGTGTCTTTGAAGCTCCCATTTTAATAATTTCTGTGCTGGTTGTCACGTCGCTTGTACAGATTTCTTCACGTTTCGAAAGACCACTTTCTCTTTTTCTTAAAAGAAGCTCCTGAGATTAAGTCCTCCAGCCGGTATTGATGTTTGATTCATAGGGTACCCAACAAGATTTGAAGTCACTGGCCTGATATTCCAATCTCGACTTATATTGTTTTTATATGCTCTAACTCTAAAGCAAATATTTTTGCTTAAGAATATAATAAAATCACATACCATCACTCCATAGAGAAATATACAGGGTGTTTCACGGTGACGGCCCATTAGAATTATTTCAGAAACTACTTCGATTTGAATTTTGAAAATTTGGGATAGCGGGTTTTTGGGCATGCCCTTCTCAACTAAAATAATGGCGTCCACGTACCACTTCCGGTTATACCGGAAGTCGCCATTAACTTGCTTATTTTAAATGAAACTCCCTATAAATTATTTTAGTTGAACTTTTATGAAGTTTCCCTCTTCCTAAAATTAACCGTTTTCGAGATAATTAATTTTTTTCAAAAAAATGGACAGAAACAGTGACTAGCTTCAAACCATGTGTATTTTATACTAAGAAAGCTAAAACAACAATATTTATAGAGAAGGTAGCTAGACCCCTAAGCTGCCCATCCATACTTTCAAACTGGCTTAATTGCATACAGGGTGCTAGAAATTTAATGCCGAGTTTAGTTAACTTCAAACCTTCATAAGTCGTTTTTTTTAATGGAACACCTTGTATGTTTTTCTATATTCTGATACACAATTTTATTCTCTTTCGAACGGTGTGGGTTCCCTATACCTATCTCTTCTAGTTTTTAAGTTATTTACTATTTTTTGTGTAATCACCTAAAATCATGTATAGTCTGTTTGGAAATGAAAGAGAGTAATAAAACCCCGAGATAAGAACCGGCCATGGGCGTGGTAATATTTCGTTTCAAGTAATTATCGGGTAACATTAATGATAACAGGTAATGGGTGTACATTAGTATATTTTATTGGATACATCATAGAGCAGGAGCCAGTGTATTGTGACAGATCAATCCAGTCTTAGAGCTGAATATACGAAAACGTACTAGTGCAGTAGAGTAAAATTCGACTTGTGTTTAGTGACTATTGTGCCAGTGGATATAATATTGTTTGGGTAAAATGTCGAGCTTATCAGATTACGTACCTGCTAAATGCGTGAAAAGATGTGCGCTGTCTCAGAATGAGAAGATTATTATATTAAATGTATTTAATGCATTGAAACACCAAAATCCTACCAACAGTGTTGACGACATCGTGGAAAAGTGTTCCAAAATGACAGGGATTGGAAAATCGACTATCTACAGACTTTTAAAGGAAACAAAAAATGAACAAGATACTGTAAATCCCCCAAAATCATCTACAGGGAGGTCAAAAGTCGTTATAGATGATTTCTTCAAAAATGTCATTCGCAGAAAAGTACACTCATTTTATTTTAAAAAAGAAATACCAACGCTAAACAAAATTTTAAGTGAACTTTCAGAGGACAACGATTTGCCAAAAATCAGTAGAAGCAAATTATGGGCCGTCTTACGAGAGTTGAATTTTTGCTGGGAAAAGCAGAACAGGAAGTCAGTTCTTATCGATAAAGATGAAATTATTTGTTGGCGAAGATCCTACTTAAGATCAATTAGAAAATTCCGTGACGAAGGGAGGAATATTTATTATCTAGACGAAACTTGGGTCAACGAGGGATATACTGTAACAAAAGTATGGCAAGATAAAAATGTAAAAAGTTTTCGACAAGCATTTTTGGATGGACTTTCAACAGGGTTCAAGGCACCTTCAGGTAAAGGGCGAAGATTAATAGTGACACATATAGGTAGTGCCAGTGGTTTTGTAGATGGCGGTTTACTTTTATTTGAATCTAAAAATACAGGTGACTATCACGAAGACATGAACGCAGATGTTTTCGAAGAGTATTTTACACAGATGTTGGATCTTATTCCTCCGGGGTCTGTAATTGTCATGGATAATGCCAGTTACCATTCACGGCAGACCGAGCGGACGCCTACGACTGCTTGGAGGAAAGCCGATATAATTCAATGGTTATCCGGAAAAAACATTTCTTTTGAAACAAATATGGTGAAAAAGGAACTTTTGACACTTGTCAATCTTAATAAAGATCAGAAAAAATATGTTATCGATGAAATGGCAACAAATCGCCAAATAACGGTACTACGGTTACCACCTTATCACTGTGAACTTAACCCAATCGAATTAGTCTGGGCGCAGGTAAAAGGAGATGTAGCGCGAAATAATACGACGTTTAAATTAAGTGACGTGAAAATTTTGTTAAAAAATTCCTTGGAACGAGTAACTGCAGATAACTGGCAAAGATGTATACATCATGTACAAAAAGAAGAGGAGAAAATGTGGGAACTCGATAATTTAATTGACGTTACTGTGGAACCTATCGTTATCAATCTAGGAGACGAAGATAATTCATCAGAATATTCAGAGGATGAATTTTAATATACCTACTTTTTTATTTTCTTTATTGTACATTTATACAACACTACATTTACTCACCATAATTTGAATTTTCAAAATACATATATTTTTGTGTGGAATAAAAGTCTATTCATTAAATTTAAATAAATATTTTGATAATAATATTGAATAATTTTATTTGAATTACTAAAAACCCTCTTAACCCGGTTATGATGCTTAAAGTAGCCTCATGTTTTGAAATGCTGTTTTTATATTGTTTACTTATAAGAGAAATGGACCGAGAAATTGAAGCGGCATAGACAAAGACGGATTGTCGGGGATTAAATTTTAGCTACCTGCTACAATTTAGTACAGTCCGATCGCACAAAGTTTTTTTAAAAGTACACCTCATCCTATACCGAAAATGCATAATATAAAAATATTGAATATAAGCACCAGTACTACATTTATTTTGCATACATAATAAGCTTTTATTACTTTCTTTCATTTCTAAACAGACTATATTTTCTTGCGAAGATAGCTGCGGAATTTTTAACAAAACTTCAAAACAAACAACACCCTGTGTACCTCTTCCAGTTTTCTGCAGAACGCAGTGGCGTACTAATTTTTTTCATAATGTACCTACTTGGCAAAGCCTACAAAATTTCTATCTTTTTTTAATAACAATATTTAGTGTTGAAAATAAATCAGTCACGTTTATATTCGGAAATGCAACTGCAACATTATAATTTATTCTGTGTTGTTTTACAGTCCGTTAGTTTTAAGGCACGAAACTTTGGATACTGGACGAAAAGGATGATATCCATGGGACTGTCGAGCATATCTAGTCTTCACGTTACTAAAACGGCCGCTGAAATTCTCTTTGATGGATATGAGGAACCAATTTTAAGCACGTTGTCCCTCATCCCAGTACTCAACGTTCAGGACAGATTTGGTATATTTTATGGGGTAAGCACGGAAACTAGATTGAATTTAAGGTTTTTCAATGTTCATTTCGAAGCTAAATCAAATTAGTTATAATAATTTTCCTTAATTCCCATCAAATGCTGATATTTATGTTCCTTGAACTAAATATTTATGTAACTTAAGAAATAACTGCATAGTCAAGGTAGTAAATAATAATTTTAAAAAACTGGAAACAAAAAAAATTCAAAATTGTTGCTTCTCTTTCAAAACAAGCACGGGCTTTTTTGGGCAATGTCGCCTGTCAGCTTTTTTAATTTGATTCATTATCTTTAATTTGTCGCTGATTTATCGTTTTTAGCTTTTCAAACAATAATTTAAAGAAATTAATATAAAAATGCAAAATTTTCCTTTGATTTGGATCACTAATGAGGGTTTCTTTGGAATAGGGAAAACATCTTTAGTCTATTCATTATTTATAATGTTATCTCAAGCTTAGCGAAAATCAAGTACCCTGCAGAGGAAAAAAAATTAATCTTAAAACGATAAGAACGTCTTATAACGATACTCTGAGTATTCAAAACTCTGCTTAGATTTTCTATATGATCATTAGTTGTCAGAACCAAAAACGTAATTTTTGTTTTGAGCAACGATAAATGAATCAAAACTAGTTTCACATTAATAGGACTTTTTCCTTGTCGGATACCATGTCCATGTTTTTAAAAACACAGTAATAATATATCCAATTATTAATTTTTATTTCTATTTCGACTTTATTAGAAAATTCGTTTAAAACTTGTTACACGTTGTATAACAATTTCAAGTGAGCAAGTAAATATTGGATATCCAAAGTAAATAAATTTATCGAAATGTTTATAGATTGAAGATAAAATTTGTAATTTTGTCTACTAATATCGCTTATCGCCAAACAATTCATGTATGACTTATTTCAAATATTACGCACTGATTGTTTGCACATAAAAAAATTTCGCAGTCATTTCTTGGATCTTACGAGCGTATAGTGAATATCATTTTGTAATCTCAAGGCGGAATCAGTCTCATTATCAGCCGTAGAGACCACAAAAATATTTGTGATAGTGAAATTCATGGCATTCATTGTACCATAATAGCGGAGACCTGTTTTGGGAAATTTCTTTGCTCTGAAATAATATCGGAAAAATAAAATATTAATTATTCACCAATTCAATTACTTGAAAGTCAGTCATCTGTTCTCTCCTCGAAATGATTCGTTTCTTTACCGATAGATGTTAAAGGTGTTTCATTAATCTGCCGATTTATCTATTCTTTCCTACATTACCATTAATCATTGCTATGAAGGAAGATATAAGCATAAAACCGAACAGTTTTCTTTCATTTTGCTAGATAAGCCTTCACCATTGCACCAATTATTATCGGAATATCGTTTTTGCGTAATTATCTGCTTTTCGTGGAGTACCCATCCTCTTGAATCAGCTAGAATACAGTAGTTGAATGTATGTGATATACTTAAATCTACAAATACCCACATCTAAGTGTATATTTCCGTTTAAAGTTACGTAACTAAAGCGACTCGTTCGTCGAAATCGTGCAAAAGTGTAATCTTTGCAAATTGAAGGAAGCGCAACCCCTGCTTGTTGCATTTGATAGAGCAGTTAGTCCCACGTGTTTAACTACCTACTTATTTTACTTTGTTGTCGACGGTTTATATAATTGCAGTCGAGCTGGATTCCTGTTAATTTGGACATGCAGAATTTAATTTGGGACAAAAAATAAAGGACGTTTCGATGAATTCTAAAACATAGCTACAGGAGCAGTTCAAGTAATATTTCAATGATACTCATACAGCTACCAAAGTTTTAAGAAATTTTCTTTCGATTTTATAGAAAGTAATTTAGAAAAAAATAATTGACTGTTCAGGAATTTAAACCAAATGTTGTTTAGTTAAATAGAATACCATGTACCTATATTTGTGATTTTTTGGATACCTCTCTTTTTTCTGATTACAATGATATATACATGTTATATATTTGCTTTGATTTTGAGTTGGTTAAAGTATAATTCAAATATTATTTATAGTTTAAAATATAAACAAATGAGAATTAACTCATGTTACTAATTTGACCAATAATTATTAACGATAGGCATTTGAAAATACGCTAATTGTTTTTTTTTTAAATCGCGAGACGTCGATTTAAAAAGAAATCATCAAAATCGGACCTCTAGAACAGCGGTCGGCAAGTGGCGGACCGCGGTCCAGGTCCGGACTGCGGAAGGTAAAATACTGGACCGCCAAAAATTTTTTGAAAATATAAATTACTTAAATAAATTATTTAAAAACATTTTTTTACGTTTGACTGTCATCCTTATCATTTTTTCTAGTATTTTACAATTGTGTGACTGATTTGAGTTCTTAATGGTTGGTAAGCAGAATAAATTTGAGTGCAAATTAAAATAAAAATTAGTAAGAAATATGAATTTTTTTCTGGACCTCGTTAAAAAATTTTCAAAAGTATACGGACCCCACCTAAAATTACTTGCCGACCCCTGCTCTAGAAGAGATATTAAAAATGTTTAAGCGCGTCGCGGTTTTGAACTCGCCGCTTTATATTCGAGCAGGCCGAAGCGGCCGCGCTCTCTGCTTCCCCCACCACCTCCACCCGTACGATTTTCTTGAATTTCTCGCTTGCATAAATAACTTTAAACAAGTTTTAAAGTAGGTTACCAATGAAGAAAAGTATTGCAAACTTAGACCTGGTAAGTACTCGGAATACCAAAGGTATTTTTCGCAAAATTAGCCCGGTATATTTAGTGTAAATGACGGTTAACTTTGATCGGCTATAACTTCGTAACTAATTGACCAATCGATCTGTTTTTTTTTTTAAGAAGCGTCTTTCCAATTACTTTTAAAACCTGCTTTAAAAAATTTGATTTCATTGAATATTCACAAAGTTATTTTAGTTGTTTATAAGTACAAAAATTCGACCAATGTTTAAACAAGCACCAGAGCTCTCCTAATTGACGGATTCGAATTTTTCAAAAAGCGTTTGAAAGCTTGAGAGACCTTCAATGTGATTAAATTTTCAAGTATCTAAGGTCCTTGGTTTTTGCTGTGCAATATTTTGAAAATTTGCAAATTTTTTTCCAAAACCTGGGTTGCAAAATTATTATGCAAAATCAATCGAACTGATTTTGATTTAATTTGGTGTGATGATTCTCCATAACATGAAGTTTTCTTGAGCCAAGTATGAAGGTCCTATACCCAATTTAAAGACCCTAAAAGAATTTTTTAACCCCATTTTTGGCGATTTTTTCCATTTTTACAATGATAATCATGATTCATTCGATTTGTAACTAGTCATGTTTTGTAAAAAAATTTATTACAAACATTTTTTCTCTTTCCATTTTCGCCTAAAATCAACTCTTGAAAAAAAATAATTAAATAGGAAGAAAAATATGACATTTTTCGAATTTTTTTAACATAACGTGCCGCCAAAAGTTAAGCACAAGTTTAGAAAAAACAGAAAAATTTTCATTTCTAGTGATATTTGAAAACCAAAAAGCCAAAAATCTCTGTGGATATACGAGTCACCCAAACCAAAACAGATACCGCCTAGTCTATCTTGCGAATCATAAAATTGCACTTCATAAGAAAATTTTATTAAAAAAACACATATTTTCGGCAAAATACACTCGCCTTAAAGAGCTCACCTTTTTAAAAATGCATTGCAATACATTTATTTTTTTTTCATAAATTCCTAACTTTTCGAAAAAACTTGAAGATATCAAAAAGTTAGTAAATGAATGAGGCTTTTTAGACATATTTTTTAAAAGGAAAAAATTGTATGGAAATTATTAATTATTTCAACCCTTTACAAAAATACGTCAGGGTTGAAAAAATTTTTAAATGTATAGTTTTTTTGGCAGATAATGTTCACCAAGTTTGGTTTCTTTAGCTTGAAACACATGAAAGATAAAAAAGAAAAAAAATTTTTAATTTTTGGAGGGGCGTAACTTTTCAGGGAAGTTTTTTTCAAAAAATTTTATACCAAAGACCCCTATTAATTTTCATCAGAGAAATGCCCCTTATATTTTTTTGGTGTTATTTATATAAATAACCTGTATAAACCAAAATATTGTGTAAATTGCCAAAATGGAGCTTTCATAAAAGATTAGCCAAGTGCAGCAAATATTGCATAGCTGTTGCTGTAAGCAAAAAATCCCTAAATTTTAGCGTCACCAATATTAATGATTCGTTTACAATGAACCATGACAAACCATTACGTTCACTCTCGAAATAATGCAGTCGCTGATTGGTTCAATAAAATCTAGTGAAAAATTACACCAAGTTGAAACAGAATATTTAATGTAGTCTTGATCTTGATTGTTTTAATCATTTTTTTATCGAAATTTTGTTGCCAACGTGAAGAAAATAAAATTACTGTTATGTTATATCGGTATATATTATCAGTAAATTATATTACAGAAACTGTTTCTGGAAGATCATTCTCAAGCAAAATAAATAGTAATGGTCCCAGTACTGATCCTTTCGGAAAGTCAAAACTTATTTTCAACTTTTCAGATCATTATTTATCCCAGGAACTTCTACAGGCTGATCTATATTTGCAAGATGTATATACAGGGTAATTCAGTCGTAATGTCATTAATTTTAAGGGAAAATATTAATAAAAAAGTTGTTAAATGCTATGATTCTTACTGGGGTTTTTAGTTATAGTATAATTTACAATTATTTCCGAGACATTGTTATGTTTCTTGTTTTACACCTTTCCAAATTCATTTAGATTTGTTAAAAGTATCCCAAAATTTTTTATCATTTTATACACCAATGTTTACTTCTCAAGAAACTTTTTATATTTCTTAATATTTTCTTATTTCTTAATATTTTGAAATATACGGAAAAGTAATGTCGTGACAAACTTCTAGGACTAATTCCTCTTATTAATACGAACAAAAAAAGGAATAATTACGATTATTCCTAAAATGACTCCAAAATGTTCTAAGATCCTTCAAAGATTGAACGTGATCAAAGACTACTTCACTATCAATTTCTGGAAGATCGTTGGATCCTCAACAATCTGTCGCTATTCCACTCTTTAAGTATTAAATTCAATTATTCTACAATCAGCGCAGGACTTTTCGAGGTCTTTTCTTGATTTCACTCATTTTTTTTTTAAATATAGTTTATTCAGTTTTATTTTTACGTTACGTGCAAAGCCCTCTTATTCGTACACAGTAATTCGCTCATATTACTCATGCTACAAAGAGAGTCACATCACTGTAAACATGTTAGGTGTTATCAAAAGGTCAATGTTTTTTTAAGACTACAACAACAGATAACGAATTTTATTAGCAAACTAACGAAATTAGATGTGATAATATTAAAAACCAAAGTGTCTTCGGAACTAGCTACAAAATAAACAATTATTTCGTTGTAGCAAAAAAATATTTAAGGAAATGGAACATATACAGGATGTGTGGTAAATATGTTACCAGCTACTACCGCAGTCCAAAAAATTTGAAAATAAATAGATACAGAGTTAAAATGTGGCGAAAATTATGATGACCAAGAAAATTTAAATAAAACATTTCTCTTATTTTTTAATATAGGCACTGTAGGGCCTGAAAATATCCGGAAATATATTAAAACTTATTCTAAGATCTCGAAAATAAAAACTTATTTATAAAAAGTGTCTCTCTACTAGAGTTTGTAGCCAAAAGCAGAAACATGAAACTTATATATTCAGAGTTTTGAAATATAAAGAGAAATCACATTTATTTAAATATCTCTTAAAATTGTCGTAAATTGATGAAGATTGGGATAATGACAACCAATTATGGGCTAAAATTTGCCGAGTTCATGCACACATCAGGAGCGGAGATGCTAGTCGATATCGTCTCTAAGGACCTCGGAATTTCGTTGCCATTGAATATTCTGAATATTAAATTTTAAATATGAGAAAAGATCAAAAAACATTTAAAATTTTCTGAAGAACAGTAACTCCCTAAGCAACTACTATGCCAAACGTTTATTTAACCTCTAATGCTTACATTATATTTAAGACTGTATATATATAACAAAAAATTCTTATAGCTTTTGATTAATTTTATATACTTTCGATTGCTTTAACTATGTTGAACTCATTTTAAATTTAAAAAATAACCACTAAAAAAGGTTGTTTTTTTTTCGAATAAAATAGAATAAAATTTTAAAATATTCAATGGCGTCGAAATTCTGTTCGTAATGCTACTTTACAATATCTCCGCTACTGGTTCACATATTTGTGCCAGAATTTTTGCTTAAAATTGCTTATGTCAGCACTTCAAGTTTTATCAATATACATCAAAGACTAAGAAATTTTAAATATTTTTTAATATTTTTTTAGTTTCATCTATCTGTATCCCAAAAACAATTTTTCTTATTTTGATGCATTCCTGCATCAAGTAAACTTTGGTGTGTGCAATTTGAAACACGCTATATAAATAGCTGATTTTTAATACATAGATATTTTATTATTAACTGTTGTTCTTTTATTTTATTTTAAAGGTTTTCAAATTCAAATAAGTCCAAGATTTTATTAAAAAATCTCTACGAACTACAGGCCTTGACTATCATTAGATTATTCCACCAAAACCACTAAACAGTTAATATTTATTAATGATTGTCCTAAAATAATTAAAAATAATATATTTAACTTTTGTTAATAGAAAATTTATCAAAATAGCTTTTATCCTCGTTGTTCTAACATCTAACAAATAAATCTTAGCTATTTCATTTTTTCCAAAAGTTTTGTCTGCTATATGTAATTTTGTATTAACAATATACAGGATTTCTCACAGTGACGGGCCATTAGATTATTTCAGAGACTACTTCGATTTGAATTTTGAAAATTTGGGATACCGGGTTTTCGGGCATGCCCTTCTCAACTAAAATAACGGCGTCCACGTACCACTTCCGGTTATACCGGAAGTCGACATCAACTTGCTTATAGTTTCCCTATTTCTAGTTTAGTTAACTTCAAACCTTCATAAGTCGGTTTTTTAAATGGAACACCCTGTATGTTTTTCTATATTTTGGTACACAATATTATTATCTTTCGAAGGGTATCAGGGTTCCCTATACCTATCTCTTCTAGTTTTTAAGTTATCTACTAATTTTTGTGTAATCACCTAAAATCATGTAATTTCTTGCGAGAATAGCTGTGGAATTTTTAGCAAAACTACAAAACAAACAACTAAACTGTCACCAATTATTTATTATTATTTATTCACAGACGTTGCAATGGGATTCTAAGCAGAACATTTACAGTTTTTAATGAGTCATATCCCAATTTTCCACCAATGAGCAGAATAAAGATTTCTAAAAAATCAACTTCATACATATTAATTAATACACAATTTTAATTATGTATGTTGATTATACAAGATAAAAAATGACTTTAAAAAGTCATAAGTATTCAATGAGACCCCTAAGTTAACAGCTAAGCACTTGTGGATTCTAGAGATAACACCATCAGTCACCGCTTTTGCTATTTCAGCTGCAGGTAATTCATGGAACGCTCTTCGTATTCGAGCAATGAAATCCTCTTTTGAAGCAACAGGTGTAGAATAAACTTTTTGCTTTATTACTCCCCAAACATAAAAATCTAATGGAGTGAGGTCGGGAGACTTTTCTGGCCAATTCCACGGTCCTAGACGTCTCATCCATCTATCTTCAAACATTTCAGTCAGCTGTTGATCGATTTGATTGTGAAAGTGAGGTGGAGCCCCGTATAATTTATACCAACACTTCCTTAGTTGGTCTAAAGGTATATCATCTACAAAATCTGCCACCGTTTGCAAAATATTAAGATATCTGTCCGCATTTAAATTTTCTTCGTAGATATGGTAAGAAATTTGGTTATCTTTAATTAGACAAAACACTTTTACGCTAAATTTATTTTGAAAGTTTCTTTCCCGGATAACATGAGGATTTTCAGATGACCACTAATGAGTATTATGTCTATTAAAAATACCTTCTCTTGTAAATTTTGACTCGTCTGTCCATATAATATGTTGCAAAAACTGTGGATCTTCTTGGTATCGCACTAACATCGTTTCACAAAATTATACACGTTGCACGGCGTCATCCGGATGAAGAGCAGAAAGTAGCTTAAATTTGTATGGATGCATATCATTAGTTCATAGCATCCTGTGAATGGACGCTCGTGAAATGCCTAAATTATACCTACTCTGCGGCACGAGTTGAGGATTCTGGATGAACATTAAAATAGGCTAGCACATTTATTATATTATCTTCATTTGAAGTTATTGACTTTGGTAAAATTCTTTCTGCACAAATTCGACCATACTCTAGTTGATTTGCTAAAATTCTTCTTAACTTTTTTTCTGCTCATTGTTGGCAAATTTGAATATGTCTCATTAAAAAATGTACATGTTCTGCTTACAATCCTATTGCAACGTCCGTGAATGAATAATATATTTAAAATATCAGCATTTGAATATGTATTGTTTTCCATTTCTTATAAACACTAAATTAAACTGTCGCTGCAAGAGACTAACAACAAATTGACAGTTTAGTTGTTTGTTTTGAAGTTTTGCTATTTGCTACTTGAAAAAGTAATCTTCGAATTGCAGAAATAGCTAAGATATATCTGTCACGGGTCTTCTTTGAATGACAGTATTTATAATTCAGTGCTAGTTATGGCTTGTAGCCCATAGCATAGTGGTTTCCCGCATTATCAACAATTAGAAATCTTTGTTGAGTACATTGTTTGACTGCATCTAATAAGATTTCTGGAATTTACTTTATCGTATTAATAATGATTAATTAATTAATTGGATATAATAAACTAAATTTTCATCATGACTTAACAGTTACTAAAATACTAAGACGATTCATAAACCACTTTTTTCTTCAGAAAAATGCTACAGTCGGAACCGACGGAACCTTCAGCATGCACTTCAAGAACGACGAAAAGTTCGGCAGTCTCCTGGAGTGGAACTACAAGAATCGCTCCAGTTTCTATAAGGGGCATTGTAACGACATTAGAGGGTCATCCGGTGAATTTTACCCCATAGACCGCAAGAGAGACAAACTGGTGCTTTATTCCTCGGAGCTGTGCAAGTACGCCGAGTTGGAGTATGTACACGATGTGAATATCAAAGGGGTCCACGGGTACAAGTTTACGGCTGATAATATTTTTGATAATGGTTAGTAGGGTGTACATCATTCATTGGTGAAGGGTAGGTGTTTATAGAACTTGTTCAGAAAAGCTGTTTTCCTCGGCGACTAGTTTCAAACTGGTAGTCTGAAATGTGGTGGAAGAAACAGCTTTATTAAACACCATTTTTATTTTAATTAATGATAATAATAACACCAGTGAGTTTTAAGGATATACAAAAAGTAATCAATGAAAAGGTTTGTGAATCGCTCGCATAGCTAATAGTTCTTTATACAGGGTGGACCAATGAAAACGAAACAGAGCCATTTTCAGGAACTGCGTCAAGATTGTAGAAAAACGCTCAGACCCGTCAATTTTAGATTACATTTTTTGCTGGTATTTTTTACTCCGCCACTTTCACTCCCAAGCAAGAGTACACCACCCCAAAATATTTAAATGGCAATGGGGGTTGAGTAATATTTCTTTTGAAAGCTCTTACAATTCTCTTTACAACAGACTTTAAATTTTATACTTTCGCCCAATACTTATTAAGAATTTTGATTTTAAAGTTGAAACTTATGTACAAACATTTAGTAACGGTAAAAATGTCAGTCATTTGAGTTAAGTATACCATTGGCATACTTAATTTTAGTATTTCTTGCGTTACATTGGTTTTTGGCGATTTGATGTCACTTTCGTAAAAAAACACAATTGTAAAAAACAGAAATGAATGCTATACACACACAATGAACGTAAAATTAGTAGATTCCAAATTATTTTCTAGTATTATTTGGAAGCGTTGGTTGGTATTTGATTGTGTTTTTGAAAATTAAACACTATGGTTTATTCCAATGCGGAAAGGGGAGATATCATTTCGCCTTACTTTATGAACAATAAATGTGCGAATAGAACAGCTCAGCTATTTAATGAACAACATTAAGATCGACATGTCAGGAGGAAGTATGTTCTAGGGTTCTAGAAATTTCAAGAGACGGAGAACGTAGCCAACAAAAAACGAGAAATTGAAAAACGTATAGTTAACGAAGCTAGTGAAGTTGCAGTTTTGGGACAAGTTCATCTTAATCCTACATTAAGTACGAGGCAGCTGGCACCTGTGTCTGGGATCAATCGAACTAGCATACAAACCATTTTGAAAAAGAATAAATTCCATCCATACAAAATACATTTAGTCCAGGAACTTCATGGGGATGATTATGACCGCCGCTGCCGTTTGCAATTTTTCGAAATAATGAGTGAGCGAGCAGGGAACGATCCACAGTTCCTTTTTAATATCTGTTTTTCCGATTAATGCAGTTTTTTCTTGAACGGGACGGTAAATCGTCATAATTGCCGCTATTGGTCCGATTCAAACCCAAGAGTTTTTCACGAGGTGCATACACAGCAACTGGAAAAATTAAATGTATGGGCTGGAATTTTTGGTGACCAGCTGGTGGGTCCTTTTTTTCTATCTGGTAATTTCATAGGCCGAATGTATGTATTTGCAATTACTGGAAGACGCTATTGACCCTGCCTTGACTGACATTATTGAAAATGTTCCAGAGTATGATGAAGATCATTTGATTTTTCAACAGGACGGTGCTCCTCCGCATTATGCGTGGGAGAAGATTGGGAGAAGAGGCAGCATTGAGTGGCCTCCACGATCACCGGATTCATCGCCCCTTGATTTCTTTTTGTGGGTATACCTAAAAAGTAAAATCTATAAAACACAGCCAGCGTCGCTGGAAGATTTGCGTCAAGGAATCGTCGATGAATGCCGTTGAATCACTTCGGAAATGCTTCGGAATGTGCGCGAACGTTTCGAACAAAATGTTTATTCTTGTATGGAAGCGGGCGGTCATCAATTTGAACATTTAATCAACTAAGTAGTAAGTAGCAACTAAACATAATTTAAATTTTAAAATGTAAAGTATTTGGCGGAATTTTAAAATTTAAAGTCTGTTGTAAAGAGAATTGTAAGAGCTTTCAAAAGAAATATTACTCAACCCCCCATGCCATTTAAATATTTTGGGGTGATGCTTACCCTTGCTTGGGGGTGAAAGTGGTGGAGTCAAAAATACCAGTAAAGAATGTCCCCCTTTAATCTAAAATTGACGGATCTGAGCGTTTTTTTACAATCTTGACACAGTTCCTGAAAATGGCTCTGTTTCGTTTTCATTTGGCCACCCTGTATAGGGTTCCGGAAGCAAATAGGCTGCATTTTAAGACAAACTTCTTTGTATGAAATAAGTTTAGATCAAGTTATTTTAATACGATTTTGCCCAGTGAGAACACAAACGTTAAAATAACATTTATTGATACAATATATAAATTTGTGCTTAATTTTTAAAATTTAAATTCTTTACATTTTATATTTGTTACATGTGAATGTCGCAATATAATAATCAATAAAAGACACATTTTTGTGGACTCATATGAACTTTTTATCTTAAAATTAGTCAAAGATTATCTGTTTAAAGTTTGTACAAGTACATTATAAACACCCCTGTAGAAAAAATTGAAGACTTACCTGTGAGAAAGTTTATTTAACATTTTCAAATCAATACGATATTAGTCACCTTATTCCGTAGATAACCAATAGCCAGTAAAAAATATCATCCGATCTTGTTATCGCGATTCGCAACTGTTTGCATCCAGATAACTTAATATTTGCTTTTCCCATGTACCTATATGTTCTCAATAATTGCAAATACCACCTCTAAAATCATCAACCTTATTCTATTTTGTTTAGTGATGATGATAATAAAGTTTATACATTCAATAAAATTTTAAATATTTAAATCCTTATTAAAGAACACATATTTCAGATTTCACGGTTGTTTTATGAAAATGTATACTTTTACAGGGGGGAAATTATTGTAGAAAGTGGCGTAACATATTTTTCTTGAAAGGGTTTGGATAATAGTTGTTGCACGCTACTGATGTAATTGTATTCATGTATTTCTTCATTTATCTATCTACCGTTATGACCAGTATCATAACGATATTAACTTGTAAAAGAGTTTACTATTTAATTCTCGAAAGGGACTTTATAATTATCATTACACCTTAATTAATACGTGGGATCTTAGAAATGTTGTACGTTCAGAGAATGAATACCATACACTTACCGTATGTCGTTCATGTATAAGGTAATCCAGTGGTTGGTTCTATAGGGTGACACTTAAGTTGGAAGAACAAGAAAAAAACATCAAAACTTCCATGAAGGGTTTTACTAACAATAAAAACAAAACAAACAAAAAACGACACAACGGGCTCGAATAACATTATTAATTAATTTATTGATATGCAACAGCGTACCGAGATTCAGGGAATACGCGATCCATAGCAAAATTTGAAATGACTTTATCCATTATTAAATTAACCGGAGACTCTAAAACTAAGTAGACTGCTCAGTGTGGAACCCAAGGAAAAACTGCCTGCTTTTTCAGAGATCTCTCCTGAATTCGACACCTCGCTTCGACACGCCCATTTCTTGGGTCCAGACGTGTCTGTTCTTATCTTACTGGCGGGAACCGTGAATATCGGGACGCTTTGGCATAACTATGCCATGTTAATAGTTATCCAATGGACTGAATTTACATTTATATAAATAATTCTGTGACTAACTGGACTTACAAGTAACCCTAGCCTTCCTCTAGTGACTCCGTGGAGCAATACGGGACGGATTAGTCAATCTCATTTAATCTATTCTTATAGTTTGGAAAATCCGCCTAAAAACCAGCTATTTGATCTATTATTATTTTTCTAACAACTTCTAGCAACTTATTCTTGGAATTCCTACGTTCTTTGGAATGCATTTCGCACGTTATTAAAAATTAAATTAAATTAAAAGTATTGGTTTCTTTGTTCTGTCCCAGCATAGACTGGCGTCTCCCGGACGCAACAGATGACTGTTACATGATGATACATTTTCAAGGAGTTATTTAATCCGAAGTGTTTTGGGGTTGTTCTAATTATCGGTTTGTAAATTTATTAGTCTCCGCGACAAAAGCTCTTCAGACCATCCTCTAAATACAAATATGACACCTTTACTACTTGACCCTCGTCTGCCCGTGGTTGTTCTTAAAAGGCCTAATAGAACTATTGAGCTCCAGTCTGTCCGAAAATCGCCCTATAAATTACACGATTCTGGCTTTTGTTACAATCTTAAGAATCTAAAAGCAGAGTAATGAAAACGACTTGACTGCATTTAAAAGCCAATTTTTTTTTCAGGCACAACTCGTCCGGAGAACGCCTGTTTCTGCGTGGGGGAATGTATCCCTTCGGGAGTGTTCAACGTTTCCGCCTGCCGAGACGACTCCCCCACCTTCTTGTCCTTTCCGCACTTCCACGCCGCCGATCCTTATTACAGGAATTCGCTGAGGGGAATGAGGCCGGACAAAAGCAAACACGAATTCTATATCACAATAGAACCGGTAAGTAAAAGGGTTTATGGGAGATGATTAGCGGGTAGAAACTTAGGTAAAGAAACTATTGTTGTATAGAGACGTATATTTTGAGTAAGACTGTACGAAACAGAGGTGTTTCGCAATATTCCCTCGGGCGGGACAGAGGGATGCTTGTAATCAGAAACGAGTGTCTCTCGCAGCTGATTATCGTGCTTGATAGAGCACCTGGAAGCATTGGTTTGAATTCATTACAATTTGCAAAGTATATCGAGACATGTGTGGCCCAAAGTAGTTGGAAAGTGAAGAAATGTTTAAAAAGTAGAATACCCTGACATATAACCATTAAGAACTGTCTTAAAATAAAATTTCAAGGACTTGCAGAGGGTCCTGGGTCTTAAGGAGGCCAAAGTGGTAAAAATGTCTAATAGTCCAGTTGGTAGAGGTTCGGCCTATGTCAAACCTTGATAACCCGGAAATAACTACACAGGCCTACTTTAAAGGACGAGTACAATAACAGGCTAATTTGCTGACAAAGTGTTTTATCAGGAAAAAAAGTTATTAATAATTTAATCGCGGAAAATTTTTTTTTAGTAGTTTTCTTTAAATAACTCGGCGAGATGACTTTGTACGAAAAAATGCTTAGGACATGATTTTCTTCGTAATAAAAATAGCTACAAAATGGCGGTGATCCGATTACGAAATTTGCAATAACAAAGCCATGAGATTGGAAAAACTTCAATTTTTTAAAGTTGCAGTAAAAATGTCAATTATAAACAAAAAGTGATAAAATTTTCTAAAACTATAGTTCAATATATATACAATAATGACGCTAAAGCCGAAAATCAGGAGAACAAAACTTTTTGTACTATAAGGTGTTATACATTCATCGGCATCTGAAACTCGAAACTGTGCCAAATTTGTTCGAAGCTTTGCTAACACTTGAAATTTGGTACACACATAGTGTAAATATGCAGAAACCAAAAGCAATTTGCAAAATTCAAGTATCTAATAGTATACAAGCGCCGAAGAGCGGAGCTCGCTCTCGAAAGTGAAAAGTTAAAGATTTACCCCACACGTACGATTTTGTTTTATGTTGATATGTTGAATAATGTACGACTACGGCTAACCGTCGTAAAATGTTAAGTAGCTTAGGATCTAAACGATAAAAATTATTTTTTTTATTGTAGGTAATTGTGCTGGTTAATCTACCTTGATGGAATATTTTATAAATAGACATATATATTTTTCCAAAAATTAAAAGAAACTGTATAACTATGTATAAAACTAGGGTGACGTATAAAACGTTACCAAAGCTGCAAAAATGAAGATACTTGAATTTTACAACTTGCTTTTGGTTTCTGCATATTTACACTATGTGTGTACCAAATTTCAAGTGTCAGCAAAGCTTCGAACAAATTTGACAAAGTTTCGAGTTTCAGATGCCTATNTTATTAAAAGAAAACTAGTAAAAAATTAGTTTTTTCAAGATTAAATTTTTAATACTTTTTTTCCTGATAAAATATTTTGTCAGCAAATTAGCCTGTTATTGTACTCATCATTTCAAGTATTCCTGTGTAGTTATTTCTGAGTTATCAAGGAAATGTAACCAACAGTAAACTTTTCGGCCTGTGTCGACTGGACTATAACTCGAGACGAGTTTCAGGAAATGATTTTCCTTTGCTGGGATTATCCTTCAGGATGTAAGCTATCTTGAAACAAAATTTTATGGGCTTGTAATGACAAATTTACATGAGAGAAAATCTCTCTAACTCTCCATTATAGGACGATTTATTAAAGATCTAATAGGTATTAGTAATATTTTAATATTAACAATTATTTTCTAATTTTTCAGAAATCGGGAATAGTAATGGATATCGAGGCTGGAATGCAAGTTAATATGTTGTTGCAGCCAGTAAAATATATCAAGTAAGTATTTTACATTAACTGGTTTTGATGAGAACTAAACATATGTACAGGGTGAGTCAACGCTGTGGCAAAGTTGATTTATCGCTAGTAGGCCAGTCAGTAGAGCGTTAAATCAGTCATTTTGTGACAAAAATACTAGTAGCAAACGGACTGTGCCATCATATAAAAGACAGTCTGTAGATACGAGTATATGCATATGTGTTTCCTACTCCAATTTACCATTATTTAATTTTTTATAAACATTTTTATGCAAAAAACGCATTTAGTTTTTTGCTTATAAAACCTAAACTAACGAGGCAATCTGAATGCTATAAAAAGAACATTTGTAGGGAATACGAATAAAACGAGAGGTCAATCGATTCGATCGGATAATTAGAAACGGAGAAAACCTCGAAAAATCGGAAAATTTAGCGTTCTTTGAAAAATTCATTACACCGCCATTTTTTCAGTTGTAGGGCCTATGCACAAAAGTAATAAATTATATGTACTGTGCACAAAGCAGCCGCTATCGGACCATTAGTTTTAGGCACAATTGCAATTTGATTTTTTTGGGGCACTATTTTGCTAAGTATCTGTATTCGTTGGAGGTAGTTCGATTTTAATTTTTCAGCCGGATTTTAAAAGTAGAAGTATAATACTATCAAAGATGTGATCTGAGGTCCATCAGAAATCCCTTCCCGCAATATCGCATCACTTAAATTGGGGAACTGATCTATGATATACTTAAAGCATTGAGCATCTTTGGTTCTTAGAGTATATACTACTGGAGGCAGCGTCCCAGTGGTCGAGAGTGTAGCAGAGGTTTAAAGAGAGGGGTATAGGAGTGAATATGCTATCTCTCTCTAGCAACATGCAGTCGCGTGCTCCTAAAGAGAGATAGCATATACCTTCATATACCTCTCTCTCTCTGTGACTCTCTCTCTCTCTCTCTAAACCTCCGCTACATTTTCGGCCTCCAGTAGTATATGCTCTAAGCTTTGGTTAGAGCTATTTTCCATTGTTTCGTGAGTTTCAATTTAATCTACAGATGTGAAATAAGGCTTTTTAATGAATCAATACGTGGCTCATGTTTCATATTCTAAAACCCATCATCGAAGGCTTCACGTAATGTTTTTTTCGATCCTGACTACCCCATTCACATAAAAACCAAGGAGTTTTTGTGAATACTGATTGTTGGCCCAGTATTATTGTGATGATTCTCAGAAATTTGCCTTTTATATTGTTGGTATTTGATCCTATGTAAGAGTATCCTCAGATTACGGCACTCTTCTTCCAATGTGCTTTCAATGATGGCCGGATACACTTTTGTATTGATTCATGCTTCTCATTGACGAATCAATGAACAGTCCACTCCACTCGTTAGGTTTATAACATCCATGTTTGAACCGATTCATCAATCCAACGATATCATTACAGTAACCTAAGGAAAATTCTTCATCGTTAGATAAATATTTACGAATATTCCTTATTTCTGTACCGATAGTAAGAAGCTTTTACTTTTCCGGCTTGCTTAGTATTTTTTAGCCATGATATTAGGAACTCTGCTCTATCCTCTGCCAGGCCCAAATCTCGAATATCATTTACTTTTTCTTGGAATATTGTTCCTGTTCTTTCACAGCGTGATATGGAATATATTCGTCATCACTAGTATCACTAGCACTATCAGTGATAGTTTCATTGCCACCCAAATTTCTTCCTTCTTTAATATCTTGGTGAAACCTCTTTCTCGCCTCAAACCCAATCAAATTTTTCACTTTGAGGTTCAAAACCGAAAAATTTGTATAAGCATCTTTTGAACATTAATTGATCTTTTTCTATTAGAAAGTATTTGGTAGACCTGATTGATTCTAACGGGCATCAGATTCGGATTCAACGACCCCAAAAACGTAGGTTTACTTTGTTTTCAATTGATTCGCTATCTGATCGAGTTAAACGGACATCGGATTCGGACTCTCTATATTTAACCTTGAACTGACCTTAACACAGAGCTAATCGATGAATTCGGATTCGGCGACCCAAAAAACGTATTAGTACGTAGGTTTAGTTTGTTGACAATTGATTTTCTACATTTGACCTTGAAGCGACCTTAATCCAGAGCTAATCGTGTCAAACGGACACCGAATTCGGATTCAGAGACCCCAAAAACTTATCGATATGTAGATTTACTTTGTTTACCTCAACGCAGATCTGATTGAGTCAAACGGACACCGGATTCGGGTTCGGCGATCCCAAGAACGTATAGGTTTACTTTGTTGGCAATTGATTCTCTATATTTGACCTTGAACTGACCTTAACACAGATCTAATCGATGGATTCAGATTCGGCGACCCCAAAAACGTATAAATATATCGGTTTACTTTGTTGGCAATTGATTCTCTACATTTGACCTTGAACTAAACTTAAACCAGATCTGATCGAGTCAAACGGACACCGGATTCGGA